GATTAGAAATCAATAAAAGTTTTATATATAATGTAAAAAAAGAAAATTTATCATGTAAAAAAAATCAACTTACATTTCCTATTGATAGTTAACAAACAAAACTAATATTATGCAATTTCAACCACCACCTGGTTTTGCTCTTCCTAACATGTCAACCCACGATCATCATTGGACTGGGTTTTGGTGTTCTTTAGAAAAGGGTGGAGGCAATAGATACATGGCTAAGTGTTTCTATTGTAAATATGAGCTATTTGGAAGGCCTAAAAATCTTCATAGTCACGCTATTGCATGTGGTAAATGGCCTGTTGCTGCGAGAAATAATTATATTCAAGAGGCCACAAGTTCTACTCCTAAATCTTGTAACAATAAAAAAAATTTAATTAGTTCAGACCAAGAACAATCAGAGTATGTTATTAATACAAATAATTTATTAGTACATAAAATACTTAGCTAACAAAGTTTTTGTAGTTCGAATGATAGCTCTAATAGTCTCTCTTCACCTGCATTAAAATGGCAAGAAAATTTAGCGAATTGGATTATCAAGCCAATTTCGCAAGAAAAACAATTCAAAATTGATAAAAAGTTACTCAATGCTATTATTTATGGAAACCTTCCTTTTAAAATAGCTAAAAACCCTTATTTTCTCGAATTTCTTAACGAATTAGCCCCAAATTATTGCCCACCATCACCTGAAACATTAAGCAATAAAATTCTTAATAATTCATTTTCAATTTATTTAAAAAATAAGTTCAAAGTAATATTCTCTCTTACTGACATTACTATAGCTTTAGACGGATGGCAAGACGTATCCTGAAATTCCATTTACGGTTTTATGACACTAAAAGAAGAACAAGAACATATTCTAGATATTATTAATCTTTCAGCAAATTGTCATACCGCAGTTTTTCTTCAAGAAAAAATCGAAAAAGTTCTTGAATTAAATTCGATCTCTATTAATTCTGTTATTGTCTGTGTAACAGATAATCTTTCAGTTATAGTTAAAATAAGAAATGATCTTAGAAATAAATATTCAAATATAATTCCAATTCGCTGTTGTCTCCACTCTTTTAACCTAATTGCCAAAGATATTTCTTCTTACCAACCTTTACTTACGGTTATTAAAAACAACCAAAAACTTATCAACTTTTTTATGTCTTCCCATATCTGGCTTAGAACATTACAAGATTGGCAAAGACAAGAAGGTGTAGCTTATTCTCTTACAACATTTTGTGAAACCAGATGGTACTCTCTCGTGAAAGTTTGTTTGGGTGTAAAAGTCTTCGAAAAAGGATTTTCTCAATGTATTGATCTTAGTGAAACTAGCAATTATCCTACAATTAAAACAGAAATTCGAGATATTATTAGAAATCGTCACCATTTTGCTAACAACAACATATTAGTTACGGTGCTTATTCTTGTCGTGGATACTATTGGTCGTCTTGAATCAAAAAAAACTATATTAGCAGATATTTTTAAAGAACTTTTAAACATTTATCTTACCATTTTAAGAGCTAATATTCCAATTGACAGTTTTAAAGATTATACATTAGCAGCTATTAACAAATGAGCATATGAGTTTTTTGATAATATTTATTTTATTGCTCTTTTCCTGTCTCCATATTACAAGAGAGTTGCAATATCAAGAAAGATGTCTGGTGATTTAATAATTAGAGTTTCATTAGAATTAGCAAAAGCTTGGTGTTTTGATAAAAGAGAAACAACTCTTTTACTTAAAGAGCTTATCAATTATAAAAATGGAGATGCTCCTTTTGACACTTATCAAAATATTAGCGATGTTAATCCTAGAACCTTCTGGAAACAATTTTCTGGAGGTTCTCTGCTTTTACGATGATTTGCTATAAAGGTTTTTTCAATTGTTCCGCATGCAGCAGCCGTTGAATGTCTATTTTCTAGCTTGGGACTAGTAAAAACAAAGTCTCGAAACAGAATGTCTACTGATTTAATGAAAATGCTTGGGATGCTTCGTCATAATCTTCAACAAAACCTACCCGAAACACCAAAAAAAAAGACCAAAGATTTAGCCTCATCTACAAATCTTGTGAATATAGTAAATACTAAAGATTGATCTTTTTGAGGAAGAGGAATTTGAAGAGCCTTTAGAATTTGAAGTTGAAGCGGTAAATATTGATATAAATGATGAGTTAGTAATGGATAAATTCTTTGATATTGGTATTTTTGAACAACTAGAGCAAGAAGTTGTTGATGAAAGTTCAACAATTCATTTTCAAAATTCTATTAATACTAAAGATTGGTCGATTGATGATATTTTTTTTCAATCTGAAATTTAATGAAATTGTAATTAGTATATGTTAAATGAAATAAAATATTCGAATAAAAAGTTTTTATTATGTATCTCAATTATATACCTGTTACTCTTTGGACTTTAAAAATTTTGCATATTGTAGAATCTTCGCACAAATCATTATTTCTCAATACACGTTATTTTAGATTACAATATAAAAAAAAGAGCGGGTATAAAATCTGTTTATTAAAAAATGAAACTTGAGTTAATACATTGTAAATCAGGTTCCCAAAATCCGTTTTTCAGAAAAAACAATTTTGATAAAGTTAACGACATTATGCTAGTTAGGTTTGTTATAATTATATTCTTTAAAAAAAAATAGCTTTTATAAAACAGTCACATTTGTTATTTTAAAAGAGAAACATGAGTTAAAAGGATTTACTACGTATTACATTGAATTTTATGACTATATTATGTATCACATTCGAGTCATTCGCTATTATTAATATTTAGCGTAACAGTGTGTGTAACATTGTGTGGCAGAGTGGTATAATTTCGGGTCAGAACTTACGTAACTTTAGTGCTAGGTGTGGCATGCCATGGCATGCCCAAAAAAAATGGCATGCCATTTATCTAAATCCGTGCCAGACACCCTAATAACGTTACATAAGTTGTGTTTTTAGTGAATTTTAGTTTTTTTAGACGGGTTAGTGTCCGTAGCACAAGGCCGCAGAGCGGACCCATGCGAAGGATATATGATTAGCTAAAGCAAGTGTCGCGAAGTGACACGAAGCAGAAGTCAAATGATTGGCTGAAATTTATTATATAAATTATACTATTTTAAATATATAGTTTAGTATAATGTTATACAAATTATGTTTTTACAAATTTTTAATTGTTTTAGCACGGGTGAGTGTCCGTAGCGCAGGGCTGCGGAGTGGACCCAAGCATAGGACAAATGATTGGCTGCAGCAGAGTGTCGCAAAGTGACACGGAGCAGAAGTCAAATGATTGGCTGAATTTTATTATATAAATTATATTATATTAAATATATAGTTTAGTATATGTTACACAAATTGTATTTTTACAAATTTTTAGTTTATTTAGCGCGGGTGAGTGTCCGTAGCGCAGGGCCGCGAAGCGGACCCAAGCGTAGGACAAATGATTGGCTGCAGCAGAGTGTCACGAAGCGACACGGAGCAAAAGTCAAATGAATGTTTAATATATATATTATGTTTATTTAAGTTTTAGCACAGGTAAGTGCTTATTGTTTATATGCACGGGAACTTGCATATTATATTATATAATTATATTATATAAAATGCAGTGTAATGTTACACGAATTTTTTGAGAGAAAGTTTTACGAGAAACCGCAGCCACGGCTGCGGGTTGATGACCTAGTTTAATCTTATTATTCAATTTAAATAATAACAAACTAATCACAAAATTGAAGATCTCCGCCCATATCTATCCGAAAAAGGATAACCGTTATCTACCGGATCCAAGCTCTAACATCATATGTAATCGTCGGTATTATCAATACTATACTAACTTCAAATAAATTTTTTTTTGAAAGCAGCGTATTTGAATGTTATTTTTAGCTATATCAATATATTTCTGTATTGAAAATTAATATCAAGTTTTGGAAAATTTTTTTAATTTCATCTCGATGAATATTATAATATGGATATCAAACTGGTAATTCCGGATCACGTATCTACGACATATCGATACTAATAATAAAATAAAGGATTATTTACATGTGATGATAGTCTCGATTATGATCATTTAAACGATGAAATTTAACTTTTTTTTTTTCAACGTGTAAATGCTAATATGGCGCAACAAACCATTAGTCCAAAGTCTCCTCGTTCAATAAATAGTAAAAAAGTTTTCTTTGCCTTTTCCCCAGGTGAATCCTCATTCCAACGAGGCTATTTAGGCGCTCATCCGGATGTTTTTTTGACTGGTGTTTTACACATTCGTTATACAAACAAGAAACCTATATTTGCCAAAAAAGTTGAAGTTTCATTTGTTGGTAAAGAGAGCGTTTTCTTTATAGGCACCTTAGAAGAAGGCCAAAAAATCAAAGAGGACGATGATGACTTTTCTGATGACGAAGTTTCAACCGAAACTTTATCCACTCATACTGCAAAACGGACGATCTTTAGTTCCTCTATTTGTTTATGGAGGTCTCAAAGTAAAGGTTCTTATGAAAGCGTAACGGGATTAGACTTACCATTTCGTTTTAAACTTCCTGAAAACCTTCCACCTTCTTTATATATGGACAAAGGTTGTGGAAGAATATACTACATGCTTAAAGCAACAATATCACGTCGACCTATAGATCCTGATTCTCGAAATTATGAAAAAAAGATAAAGATTTTTTGTCCTATTGTTCGTTACACTGTCACACCACCACAAATCCCTTCCCGTTGGCTCGTCAAACAAGAAGGTCCAGCTTTACCTCATGCAGTTGACTATGATGTTTCTTTAAGTCACTCAACTTTCGGTTCAGGTTCATCTATTGTTGTGCCAATAAAATTGAAATTCCATGAACCTCAGATTTATCTTAAAAATATATTCATTGGTATAAAAGAATACCACGAATTACGAACAAACAGATATGAGACGATAACGAAAAGATATATTGTCGAAGAGACTGTTAATGCTGAAAGCATTCCCACTTCCGGTTCAGATAATGAATATTCTTTGAACGTCAAACTCTCAATACCTTCCACCCGAAATCTCGTCTACAGTGTAGATTCAACTTACATTACTGTCTCTCATAAAATTAAGGTGAAATTTCATCTTGGAAAAACACCTAATATTAATTTATCTAAATTTATCAACATACAAAATGTGGTCAGTAGAAAAGAATACTCACGAGAATCTCTAAAAGTTGAAACGCCTGCTATTATTCAACAAAAATTACCATTTAAAGAGGATAATATAAAGAGAGGGAGTTATAATATATCGAAACGGTTGTCACCGTTCCTTCCAATGTTCAGTAAGATCCATATTATTGATAAAAAGAATCAAAAACAAATTTCAATGCAACTTCTTCATCTCACTGATTCTGAAACTAATTCCGTATACAATTCAAGATCACTTATTTCTAAATAATCATAAATAATACTGTATATATTCGAATTATACCTATCATTTAAGTTATTACATACTTTAATGTCTAAGCTTTAATTATATAATTTATATATATATATATTAGTGGGTTATGTTGAAAATTATCAGTTATTATCAGGGTTGTCACGTTTACTATATTTGTTCTATTGGCTTCTAATTCTATTCACTTTTTTTCATTTTTCTATTGTAAATTTTTGGTATTAAATTTTATAATTAAATAAAAAATATTTTGAATTTATTTCTAACAATATATATTTAAATAATTCAACTTATTAATAAAAAAATTTTTTTTATACTGTATAAAGACAAAAAATCATGCTTTTGTTCTATTCTATTTTCCAACATTGGTTATAATATATGTATCAGATATAGCATCTTTAATAATAAATTCATCGTATTTTCGATGAACAAGATTAATCACTTTATTTTGTTAGTAACATCTCATTTTATGATGGCTCAAACAAAAGTGACAGTATTAAAACAAAAGAAATTGAAAACCCCAAATCAGGAACGCGTTAGTTAACTGTTGTATCAGGAACAAACGGTAAGTTATTCAATTATTACGGCAGAGTTGTCACAGGACAGCTTGGAACACTAAATTAGACATTCAGTCAAAAATATTAAGCCATAATTTAATTTTCTAAATAAAATTTTAATTAAGAGTCTATAATCACATTATGAAACTTCTGCACACTAACAACAAATCCCTCGAAATTTGGGATTCATGGTAAAAATATAAGCAATACTGATCAGTGAATAAAATTCGATGTGCGCATGTGCGCTCCGCACACAGAAAATTTTTTTGCGCACAAAAAAAATATAATGCTGTGCGCAAAGCACACGCAATTTTTTTAATAATTATTTAAAATAATGTGCGCTATACAGTTAGACTTGTCTACTATATCGAACTTTGCGCACATTGAATCTAAAATTTGGTGCGCGTTGCGCACCAAATTTTGACTTTGAATTTTATTCCCTGATACTGATGATAATAAAATGAACTTAATAATTGTATCGACGTCATACTTCAGGTCAGGTTAAACCCACTTACGATAACCCCTGTCGATCAAATTTGACTTAGCCGAAAAACCTTACCGTTACGTAACGTACGTACATATATAGATATAGTCAAGTTTGAAAAAATCGGTATCACTATTTTCTTAATTAGCTAAGCTGGGATGTTACATGACATTTATATGGATTTACTTATTTGTAAATAAAATAAATTGCGTAACGGTAATGATGGAAGTTTAGAGTTAGGATGTTAGCGTTGAAGGCTATGGCGATAGATTATTACTTCCTATATGTCTATATGTAAAATTTCGTTCCCAACATTTTTAAACACGTTTTTAAGTACTTTCGCTTTTTTACGTGTTCGGAATTCATGTCGGATGTTCAAGATTGAACCCACCCACTGAATGATGTTTCCTTTTTAGGAGTTGTATTACCGGCACAAAAATAAGTGAAGTTCATTAATGCACATACTACAGGTTCCTAAATTTGAAACTATGCTTAATTTAGTTCTCCCGTGTTCAATATATTAAGTTCGAGAAATTTATTTTCCACTTACTATACGTTCTCAAATTAAAAAAATTAAATGGTCAAATTAGCAATTTTAGGTTGTGGGAATATAGGATTCTTCTTAGCTGCAAATATCCTTCATCATTATTATCCACTTTCAAATAAAAAGGAAAATGTTGTGAATAAAAATGTTGCGAATGAAAATGTTGAATTATTATTAGTTGGAAGACAAAGGTTACTCGACAAATTAAATGAAGCGAGAGAAATATTATTAACGACTTACAATGGGACAAAAATTATAGTTCCAAGAGATCATGTCAATTATGTTACGGATGTAAAAAAGATAATCGAATTTCAACCAGATTATCTATTTGTTACATTGAAAGCAACTCAAACTGTTGAGGCTATGAAAGAAATCGCTGAATTAGATGGAAAAATTATAGTATGTATTAATTGAATATATATTAATAATTCAATATTATTAACTATTAAATTGGTTTAGATAGTGCCAATTCAAAATGGTGTTCAAAGTTTTGACTTAATCAGAACAAACTTTCCCAAGTCTCAAATAATAAGTGGAATGATAGTCCAAAACATAGCTTATTCCAATCCTTGTAATTTCACCCAAACTTCCGATGGTTCTATATTCTTCCAATTAACCCCCTCTACACATTTTATTAATTCCATCTTATCTAATGCTGGAATCGATATTATAATCGCCACGGATATAAAAAACGTTCAATATGGTAAACTAATGTTAAACTTAGGAAATGCTGTTACTGCATTAGCCAGTTCACTTGAGCAAGTTTTGGAATCAAGAACATATCGTCGTATACTTGCAATGTGTCAATGGGAAGCCTTAGAAGTGTTTGATAACTTTGATATTAAACCTATATCATTTAGTCGCACGATGCCAGTAAGGCTCATGCCATATATTTTAAATGCTCCAGACTGGTTGTTTAATATTCTCATCGTCAATCTTCTTAAGATGAAACCTAAAAGTTTAAGGTCTTCGATGCTAGAAGATTTTATGTTAGGTAGGAAAACAGAGATTAAAGAATTACAGGGTGAAATCGTTAGATTAGGTAAAATTATTAAGAAGGATAGAGATGAAGGAGGAATTATAATGGATGGTGTTAAACTTGGGGGAGGTGATCATTCTTTAACACCTTACAATCATGGGATTTTAGAGTTGGTGAAATTGGTAGAAGAATGGATGGAAGAACATAAAAAAGGATGGAATGTCCGATTGGCAGCAGATGAAGTTTTAGCATTTATCGAGCATGGAATTGTGCCTCAAGCTTTGCAAATTTGAATATTAATATTCATCTACCTTTACCCATCAGAAACTTGGCAATTGTTACGAAATTACGACAGATGAAATATAGTAGCCAATTTAAATTCGTTATCAAGATTTTGAACCAATTCTTCAGTAATTAACATGTATCATCTTAATAATTGATGTAGTTTTTTTTTTTCTAATCATATTATGCACCTTCAAATAGTATTTTACATGGCAGTTTGGAATAATTTGTGGCATTAAAAAATACCAATAACTCAAAATTTTCAAGAACTTACTTTAGTCAACAAAAAAATAATGTTCAAAAAATTTAATCTGAAGTTAAATAAAAGTTGGGAAATTGCTAGGGTGGGACGGGACTATGCCAAAGAACTCGGGATAGTCGAAATATATAACACTACCTCCGAATTGTAGGCATATTAGATATTTTAATATACCGTATTTACGCGTAATAACGCCCCCACGCTTTATTTTGCCTTATTTCGAATCAAATGAGATTTTTTTTGAAATTCTGTGGTATTCAAAATAAAGCGCATGGGCGCTATGATAATAACCAAATTAGCAACAGCGATTTCAAATAATAAAAAATATATATTACCTCTTGCATCGTTAGTCATTCAACTATCCCTTAAACCGTCCAGTTTAGCAGGCAAATTTGCCTGCTAAAATTTTATAAATTCATGTCTGATCTACTTTTATTAAAAATTAAAATA